AAATTATATATGCAGTATATATATTCAATTTGAAAGTTTATGGGGTAAGCACAAAAGGATTTTTATGAAATCAACGAGTATATCATTTTTATTAACGAGTATATCTTGTTTCCTCAATAAACATATACATATATATTAGTGCTGTTCGATTTATTCAAATAATTTGATGTTCGAATAAATTGATATACGAAAAATTTGATATTCGAATATATTAATATTTGAATAATTTGATATTCGAATATATTAATATTTTTATAATTTGATATTCGAATATATTAATATTTGAATAATTTGATATTCGAATATATTAATATTTGAATAATATAATATTCGAACTATTCAGCGAATAGGTTCAACTATTTGAATTATTTATTGATATTCGAATTATTTCGAAAATTCGACTTTGAACACAAATAGCACTAATTAACTCAAGATTCTACAATTAAAGAAGATATATTAAGCTTATATAAAGCTTATCTATGTAATTTTATAAGAACTGTTTTAAATATTTAAATGAAAAACTGTTTAAATATGCATACTATATGTATATAGTATACATATATATATAACATTACTTTCAAACACAGAAATCCATAAATACTCTATAGTATATTCTACAGAGTTGTGTTTGGTTACAGTTTAATATATTATTTAATTCCACTCTTAAAAGCCGTTCCAATCAATATTAAAGTTAGGTTATATGGAATATTTTATTAATACCCATAACATTCCAAAACCTAAAGTTAATTAGGTTTTGGAACATTTTATTAATACCCATAACATCAAATAAAATTATTTATTAGTAACAAATATCTGAAGAAAACATATATATATTATTTATTTATTAGTCATGTTACTATAAAAATCCGATTTTTTGAACAAGGTATTCCTTAAAACTATATGTTTGTCTCAACATATGAGAGAAATTTAATTACCTATATTTTAAATATATACTGAAATTGAAATGAAGTGAATATATAAACTGAAACAAATTGCAAATCAAATAATTTATAATCTACTTAGCTTTCCAGAAGAATTACTAATAATTAGTAATTAGATTTTTATTAATATAATATGCACTTCATACATGGTGTGATTAAAAAGTAACGAGAATTTTAGGTGTTCTCTTCAAATACCATATATACATATATTATCAGTGCTGTTTTAATTTTTACAAGTTTCCATCATTAAGAGGAAAATAAGAACACTTATATCCCGTATTATCTTCAATATACTCTCGACTTTTTTGAAGTGGTTGTACTCTTGTGTCATCTAGTGCAATTTTAAAACTCTCTTCACTTATTGATTAAAGAGCTTAGAACGTGGCTCCAATTATGATTAGTTGTAGCCCATTATTAATAGGCTCTTATTTATAATTAGCAAAAATTATTAGCTCAATGGAATTATGGACTGACTATATAAACTGTTTCGAATGCTACTAAATAATCATCATCAGTGATGTATATTGAAAACCATTAATGTTTACTACTACTAACAATTAAATTCTTCAAACCAAATTTTTTTGGATAAAATTAAATCCAATTTTTTTAATTTTAAAATGAAAAAAAGAAATATTTACAAATAAATAGATTTATTAAACATACTTTCAACTACTAAAGTTGATACAAAAAACTAATAACAGTAAACTATTATAAAAAACAACTGTGGTATTAAATTGAATACAATAAGCAAACGTTACAGTATTAACATAATCCAATAGATACATATATTAAAATTATTTTGATATCATGAAGTCTATTCATATTTGTACATAATTCTCTTAACTTAATATATAGATAATTTTTTTTTTTTGTTTGTAGTATTAACAAAATAAACAGTTTATAAACACAAAACACGAAACAGATGCTTTCATTCATCTGTACACTTCACACAAATACAAACTATAAAAAATGTATATTAAGTTTGGCACAATGTTTGCAAAAAGATGAAAATGACATCTAAAATCATATAATCATATTAATCTTATATATATATATATATATATACGTATATTTCTGCTCAGTTTAAAGAAGCCAATTGATCTCGCCATGTCCGTACGCCTATTAGTCTGACAATTAGGTGCAAACTACCTTTATAGTTTTTGTAAAATATATATATAATTAAAACCTACTACTAACATATATAAGCATTTTCAAACAAATATCAATTTATATTTTTTTTCAATAAATAAATTAATAGAAAAATTAAATATATCACTTTTTGAAAATAGTAAGTTTAAATGAATTTAATCTATGAATATAATTAATAAAACCTCAGGAATATTTTATATTCTAAAAAAGACGAACCGCTAAGTTTCTCTTTCTATATAGTTCACAAGGATAGTATATATACCATATGCAGTCAGAATGATCAGAAGATGGATGTTATAATTAACAATTTGTCTAGTATTTTCTGCTACTCATCTATATATAATTTAATATGGTAAGTAAGCCATTCGCTCTCTCTCTCTCTCTCTCTTATATATCCAGTTCCCTGCTTGTAAATCATAACTCAGTATTTGTTATTGTGTTTGATTAGAATACTCGTAAGATTTAGCATAAAAAATAGGTTTGCAAATCCTTATAGAACATTCTAAAAGGATTCTGACAATATTGAAGTGGAGCTTTAACGATAAAATGGAACAATATAATTTTTGTGCGAAAAAATTTACTAAATTTGATTAAAATTCACTATTATTAAATATTTTTGTTAAAATTTTTGTTAAATAAATTTATTATTCCTAAACTCACTTTTAACAATAAATGTTAAATAATGAAATATGAAGGGTATTTACGTTTCACCAATGCCAAAGCTAACATTTTCACTTATTTGTGTTTAAACCAATTAAGAGTGGAATTTACAGAAATTAAATAGAAATTATTTTTAATAAAAACAAAACTATATTAAAAATTAATTTCAGAAAAAGTAAAAATATGTTCTTATTTTTAATAAAAACAAAATTGTACTAAAGCTTATTGCAGAGAAACAAAAATATATTATTTTTGATAAAATTTTAATTAACAATTTATTTGTTTACTTTTTTTAATTTAATTATTTAGACGTTTTTTATAAAAATTTTTTAGAAATTATTATTAATGAAATTTCAATATAAAAAAAAATATAATGGAGTTACTTCAAGTTGGTTTTGTAGCCTCTGATTTTCTTATACGGTAGCAGAGTAGACCAATTGGCCTAAGTGGATCCTCAGAATCGTCGGTAAGGTCTATCCTTAACTTAAAAAGCAATTTCAATTTTATATTTCATTTAAGAAACTACATATTTTTCTAACAAAAACAATTCCATTATTTCTTTAGTGACTGATTCAAAACCTTAGTCCGAAATAAAGGCAGTCATATCGTATATTCGAAAAAAATTAGAAAAAAATTTGAAAAAAATTTTTAGAGAAATTTGAAAATAATTGGTAAAAATATTGAAAAAAATTCGAAAAAAGTTTGAATATATTAAAAATTTAAAATAAAAAATTCGCAAAAAGCTCGAAAATAAAATCAAAAAATTTTGGATCAATTAAATCGTTTTTAGATTTTTCTTTCACTGGTTTAATATGCAATTTAATTTTAATTAATGTCAGTACTCGAAATACCATTTTGCAAAGAAAAGGTTTCACTTATAGAAACTTCGAGTTAAGGAATTTTTTGTAATTGTATGTAATTTGCTCTCTAAACCTTATTGCCTTCTACCATATTTAGTTTGAGTTTTAGAAAAATTGAGTTATAGAAATTCGAGTTATGGAAGTTTGACTGTAATTGAACTCCTATGAACTTTAACTTTTAAATGAATATAATTTTTGAAATCACATTTTTTTTCTCACTTTTAATGAAAATCGAAAATTCCGTTTTAAAATTTGATATTTTTAATTAAAAAATATGACGACCCTATGAAACTTTTAATTCAAATAAGCCAAATCCTACGAAATCCATTTTTTGAATGAAGACGTATATAAATTATTTTTTCACTTTTAATGAAAACTGTTTTATTCCTATTTCGATTCTCCAATAATGGTATATAAAGTCGAGAATACTGTATTAAATTTTGATATATTTTAACATTAGAAATATGACTACCCTATAACAGTTCCAATATATATATAAACTTCCAATCAAGTCCTAGGGTTGAAGTTACCTTTGAACAAACATTAATTTCGGAATTAAGTTCTCTTTTCGTTATTGGTGAGAATTTATCATTTTGACTCACTCCCCCGCCAATTACGAAATATAAAACCGAAAACTCTTTACTACAATATTAAAAATATATATATCAACATTTCTAAATAATAAACGTCATTCAGCGTAAAAATCGAAAAGTGTTTTATTTCTTAGCATTTGGTAAGCTCGGCGTTATTTTGAAATTTTAATTGTAAACATTTGCTCAAGTGGCATAATTTATGAAACGAGCGTCGAATAAATAAATTATTAAACACAAGTGTTAGAAATTGAGTACCTCAAGCGAATCTATAAACAAAATAAAAAACATGTGAGGAGGGCATCACTGGGACTGTCTGCTCGTATGTCGGTGCGATGTAATAAGAAATTGCGTGCGTTTAAGCAAAAATAAAAAAAATTTGAAATACAAAAAAAAACATTTTGTTCGAAAACAAAGCATTTGATCGAAAGAGTGCAGTTTCGAACGGAAATGTCCGCTAACGGAAATCAAACGATCCAGTAGACTAGAACAACATTTAAGTGATTTAATATATACATATATTTTTTTTTTGTTGTGGTGCCACTTTTGGTAAGACATACAGCGGTTATCAAAAAATATTGTACACAATAAAATATTTGATAAAAGAATCAAACCAAAGAATTCCTGATAAGCAATTATCAGAATAAATAAACTCGTATCAGTAGAGAACTACCGCCATAAACTTAGGCATTCCGAAATCGAAACTGAGATAAAATTTGTTATTTGTTCAAATTGTAGATATTAGAATATTAAGAAAATTAAGAAAATTAAGAAAATTATTCTTGAGATATGGAACTTACCGTTTCGCAGCAACTTGCAGCAGACGTTTCGAAACTGGTGATTGTATGCCACTGTTACCACTATTACCACTATTTCCACTGTTAGCACCGTTTCCACTGTTAGCACTGTTAGCACTGTTTCCACTGTTAGCACTGGAGCTTGGTGAACGACGCGCCATGCTCATTGTATTGGCAGCTGGCGTATTGCCGCCAGTGCCATTGCCATCTGCATTAGCAGTGACAGTAGTTTCCGTACCCGCACCCGCACCCGCACTTGTCACATTTAGCCTCGTGGACACTTTCGACTTAACATCATTGTAATTTTTTTTAATAAATTTATTACTGGCTATTTTATTCATAACTGCATCCCATTTATTAGGCGATGGAGACTTACGCACTGCATACGTTTGCGCATTTGTATATACCGGCGAATTTGTTTCGGACTTAGCACCATACACGCCATTTGTGTTACCGAGTAGCGACGTTAACGAAGCATGCTTACGCGGCGAACTCAGTTTGTGCACTGACAGTGGTTGTTGTTGGCGCTGTTGATCGCAGCACGTTTGTATATTTCCAGTTGTGGAGCTTTTAGCGCGCTTCGCATTTGTGCTTGTGCCATTTGTTTCGTTCGTATTATTCGCTTGTGTCTCTCCACTCGAGGCGCACTCGGCAAAAGCTTCTTCCAGCGAGGAGAAACTTTTGCACTCTACGTTGACGGTGCTGCCGTCTACACTGCAGTAAGAAGTACGATTTGAGAGTGTGGCTGCAGAGAGACGATCAGTACTTAGGCTGCTTTGTATTGTTGATGATGTTTGGCTGCAACTGAGTTGACCTTGGCCGAGTGCCGGTGTTGGTGACGTAGTCGCATCAGTTTCGCTTTTGTGTGTTACACGCTGGCACTTGCCATTCTCACGATTGCTCTTCACAGTTTCTGTTGAATCTTCACCATCACCGTCGGGTGACATGTCAACAGCGGCATCTTGTGTGTCTTGACGACGCATTTGTACCAAATCTTCGTCACAACGATTTTCGACATCTGTAAAAATACCTGATGATTCCATACAAGAATCTTCCATTTGTGGGTCTTCGGTTATGAAAACTGAAGCAGTTGGCTGCAACATAGGACCATATAACTGTCCATCGATTACTTGTGCGCGTCTATCGCCACGATGGAATATGTCATCCGCATCTGATTCGGTAAAAAAATCAGAATCGGTCATAGGATCTTGCCGGCGTATGGGCGGCAGTGGTTGCTGTTGCTGATTAAAGCTGGGCTGACGTGATACACCTTTACGCACCGTTGGACCATTCGAGGGCGAGTGATCACATGCACCACGTGAAGCGGGACGTGACATTTCACCATCACCTTGATAACCAGTATCAAGACTAGTAACACTTGTAACACTTGTAATAAAACTTGTTGAGATTTTGGAAACATTTGATTTGGTCATTTGATCGGCTTTTGAAACTTCAGTGTCCGTATGCAAGGAAACAGGTTCAGTGCTTATAGAACTCGTTTGCAAATGTTGTTGTTGCATATGGTGACGCTGTTGACTTGCTGAAAGTAACATTTTATGTTCCTGTTGTTGTTGCGCCAGCACAATTTCTGTTATATCAGTTTTTACTTCAACTGGGTCCAGTGGTAGTTCTTCAGGTGAAGGTGTTTGATCTATACGCATTTGATGCATTGCTAATTTATTCGAACTATTTACGCCATTTAAAATCAAGGGTAAATCTAAATTGTTAGCATTATTGGTGATGGGTGAATCAAGAAACTCTTTCATTTGATCTGGTGTAAGTATACCCAAGCTCTCATCTAATTCGAAGGAATTCTGCTTTTTCAAATGTAACAGTTGTTGCGTTGATGCTGATTTTGATATATTATTTTCAAGTCCAGAATTGACATTTGCCTGGGAGAGCGCATTTGAAGAAAGTGAAACATCGACCAGTTCAATTGAGCAATCCAAAGTAGATTCTGTCAAATCCAAGCCAAAAGAGAAACGAGACTTTTGTTTTTGATTAGGATTATTGACATCTTGTAGTGATATTGCCACACCTGGTATTTGTTTTTGTTTCGTTTGGGCGAAAAACTCTTCAGTACGCATACCTAAACTAGTGAGAGTATTATCCAAATCCATTGGTTCGCCTAACATTTCATCGTCAGGCGTACGTGTAGGCAACACTAAATCACTTTGAGCGCCTTTCAGTAATAAATGCATTGGTACGGATGTATGTTGAAATGCAGTTCCGGTGCAGCCCAAATTACGGTCAGGTGTTGTTGTAGCTGACGATGACAACTGTGTCATGTAAAGCAATTGTGTTGTATTTATGTTATTGCATTCGCTTTTCGTTAAATTAAATAAATCACTTTTTCTACCAGGAAATTGTTCGTTTGTTGACAATTCCACAAGGCGTTCCATATTCATGGTAGAATTCAAAGGCAGCTTCATGTTACTTTTGTCAGGTGTCAGCAACAATGTATTTTCTTCGAGAACAGCTATGTTACTTAACTCAAAGTTAGTTTTGGTGCATTTCTCTATAATAGTTTGATTTAATTGTGAGAAGTCCAAATCAAAACCAGAGGGAACAGACACATCTTCAAGCATAGGTAAATTATCAATAGAACCGGGGTTAGAATACGTAGCATTAGTGGCTGGTGAATCAATAGCTGTGGAATCTAAGACTTTTATAGCGTTCTGCAAATCCATATTTGTGAGTTTTTCTATAATTTGTGTGCCATCAAAAGGCTTAACTAGACTTTGATTATGCATTGTCATTGTATCATTTCTATTCTCTGCTAAACTATTCTCAGTGTTTATAAGAACATTCATGGTTTTATCTGCTAATGGTGTTTCATTCAATATTCTTGTGGAATTACCATTTGGCGGGTGCAGGCACATAGTCTTACCAAATGGTGTGGCTTCTATATTGATCACTTTATCGAAAGTTATACCAAGTGCACGCATATTGTCCAGCTTTGGCGTGCTGGTTGGCAACAAAGTCTTGTCAAAACCATTTATATTCTCGATTTCGTATTTCGCTTTGGGCACGTGAGTTACATTCAGAGTGTGCGTAGTATAGAGTGCATGACGATCGGTTGGCTGCAATAAATGCGTGGTCTCATTAGGAAGAGTTCTTTCAACAGTCGGACTCTGTTGTGTACTGCAAGCAGACACATTTTCCATACTGCTTCCACGCACAAAAGTATCTGAACGTATTAAAGGCGCTGTTGGTAGCGGTGTGTTCTTTTGTCTATCCAACGATTTTGGAGCCGATAACTTCAATTGATTTGCAACCTTCTCGGTTTTACCGAAAAATTTTTTAAGTGCTGTGGGTGTTTTACTTCTTACTAAATTCAAAGCATTATTTAAACGATCTCCAGAAGAACTTTTCTTAAGACAGCTTTTAGCTAGAAGAGACTCCGGTTTTAGTGTATTTAACGTTGAAGTTTTGTTAGATATCAAATTGATTTCATTTGTTATGCGGTCACCGGATGAACTTTTTCTCAAAGCAGTTTCGGTGAACATCAATTCTGGTCGCATACCAGCAAATGAAGTTGGTCGTTGCATACTTGTGGGTGGACGTAACATTCTTGTAGGTTTATTTACTATTGTTGGTGGTCGCAATGTGCCTGGTAGTGGTATTCGTGAGACACCATCCAAGCGTGGTATACGTGATGAAGCTGATTCCTGCAAAAAAACAAAACAAAAAAAGTTTTTAAAATAATTGAATTGCCTGGATTTAAAATGTTTACATAATATATAAGTCCCTAAGTGCAAGTAATCAACTATATTTATATATGTAATTATATTGTGCATATCTTGATTACCACTAGCAATCAATTTATGTCAACATTTTTATTTAATTTTCTCAATGTGTTTTCACTTGTATTGAGTAAAGTACCACTTGCGTGGTTGTCCCACCATATTAAAGTTATTTTCATAGTACCCAATAAAAGCGAAAACTCACAAATATCCTTACGCCCCCAACCGTCATCCTAATATGCAAGTATATACGCTTTCACATAAACCTCAACGTGTTTGTTGTTGCGTTATCGATTTAGTAACTTATGGGAAAGGATAAGGTGGCGATAAGTATGACAGTTCAGATATCCATGTTGCTCCACAGCGTCCTTCTATTCTCACCAGTTTTTGCTTTTACTCTGCGTTTGAGTTTATAGTTTAGTAAGTATTTGGTTTAATTTGATATGGAACATGAAGTTCATTGTACTCGAACTTCTTTTGTTTGCTCTTGAAAGGAATACTTTAAGTTGGTATGACATCATACTTACACAATTAGACAGCAGGACACCAGAAAAATTAAAACCTTAAAATGGTGTTGTGCAAAAACTACTCGAGTAGATGTTTCGAGTATAGTAAAATTTTTATGTCAGGTTGAAAAGGAAAGAAGATTACAAAAAAAATATCTATGCAAAAATCCAAAAATCTCTGCAAGTGAAGAAGATCTGAAAATATTGTATTACTATTTAAAACTAATTTAACTTCACAATGACAAAAATCTTTTAATCATTGGTTTATAAAAACTAATAGATATATATTATATTATTAGTATATTATATATACTCACTATATATGTTATATATAGTGAGTATATAGTGAGGTCATAAGTTTTTTAAAGAATAAGAAATACGTGATATTTGAACAAGTATTGCAACTTTTTAATAGTTTATTTTATAAAGAAGTTCACTATATCCACAATTTAATATATCACAAAAAAGAGGATGGATATGGTTAACTTTATCCGTATACATAACTGAAGATTCAGTATGAAGTAGATAAGATATCTGGTTGGCCTATGCAAGAAATATTTATCAAGTTCTTCGTCTTCTATTTATATTGTATTTGTAATTAATACATAAGACAGGAATTTTTTCTGAAATTTCCACAAAATTTTTATGTGGGTCATATTTGCACTAAAGATTCTGCTTGTGGATTTTAATCGCATGTGAATGTCAGTAACACCAACATTACACAATTGTTGTTGCTAAAAGAAGATGAGAGTGGATATATCAGACATATAAGTATTAATTATCTAAGAAACCAATATAAAGCCCTACAGAAATGCCTCAGTGTTGGAAAAAAGATGAGAAAATATGAGATGTTTCAAAATTGATATAAACTGGAAATGTATAATACGTAAAGTTTGGACAAACTAAAAATAATGCTGTATAACATATTCGACAGGGAGTAAATAACTTATTTGTTCTCTACTTCTCTCAATCATTACCATATCAAAGACCTTTTCGAACTTTCCCAAAATGCATTGTTTGATAAACACTAAAGAACACTAAAATATTTTGCTGTTCTCTTTAAGGATAATAGAAAGTACACTATGCGCGTGAAATGATCGTTACGAAAATTTACTGCCCTCATTAAAAGAACACTAATAAAAGTACTGAAAATTTCATATAAGATACCAAAAGCAGTACACTATTTAAGTATTTTGGGCGTTCTTGGACTTAAATAATAAAAATTATTTCATAGGCGTTGAACAAAAGCAGTACACTGTGATAGTGAACTGCTTATATTCGTTCACTGATAATAATTGTTAACTATTCACTAGTAAAGCGAAAACTTACTTACATTGTAGAATGAAATCAATCAAACTTTTAGATAAAGAATCATTATAAAGGAACTATTATTACGAAATAACATAAATTAAATTTAATTTAAAATTCACTCCTTGAGATACAACTATTCTGTCATTATAATACAAAGGATATAATTACGCGTATGTTATCTATTGACATCCGTACAACATTCCCGGTATTACCGATTTCACGGTACAATTATTCAGAATTTGTAAGTGTGTTATTTTAAATTACAGCCTCTTATCTATTATCAATAAATAATTAATTTTATCAAGCTTTTATCTTGTTTATTTTAAAACGATGTATCCAGGCTCATTGACGCAGTTGTATGAAAAGTTACAAATAAATCGAGTAATTTTTAATGTTGAGTATGCACATAACTCTTGTTGAGGAGAAAATTGTTTACAAGGACTTCGAATTCTTAAGGGTATTAAAAACAACTAGCACGTATTTATAAAATGTATTACAATATATAAAATAAAACCAACTGACATTGTTTTTTCTGAAGGCATTTAACTGATGTTACTTTTGGTAAGACATGAAAAATTCAATATTGGTGTATATAAAATATACGCCCTTTCATACTTGTTTCCATAAAATCAGTTGCAAAGGATAAAATCCCTTTGATTGGTCTTATTTTGCTCAGTTTTATATCGTAAACGTTATTTTTTTTCTTTTATATGGATTTGGTAATCAATATAAAGGGTCAATCAAGTCGATTTTCATATCATTAAGAGTTTATATATTTAAAAGAATATCATTAAACAAGTATTGATTAGAGTGTTATATTATGGATACTTGATATTATGGAAACTAATAAACTAATACATGATTTTCTATTATAATTAAAGAAAAAATTTCAAAAATTAGTTTAATATTATTTCAATTGATAAATTATAAGCAATATATGTATATTATTTATATGTCTTATATATGTAAATGGCTTCATATTACTTTATCAGGCAGATCTGTTATTGTGTTTTGGTTTTAAAAATATTTTCTTCCATATACTTTTATTGGTTTAACACTTTTAATGTTTTTTATTTGTGTTTCTAACACAATAAATTAGGTGACGATAATTTAGGTAACAAAATCAACTAAAACTATATATATAGTGTAAATGATCAACAAGTAAATTAACTACATATTTTGCTGTAAAGAAAACTACTCAGATAATAACAGACCCTTCATAAAAATTACACATAGGTATAACCTTATGATATATTTAAATACCATAAAATAAATATATGTGTCTATATCATAGAGTGCTAAGTCTAACTGCGTATTTTTATATTCTCTAAGCTCGGATTTTAATGTTAAATATCTTAAAAATTAATTAAAATCTTATTCCATTTATATTGACATATAAGAATTTGTATTAAACACATTTTAGTTCCTCCAAAACCATTAAATGTTGAAACTAAATCCGAATCCGATTAGCGGATAAAGTTGAAATTTTATGACAACCAAGACATTCACTTAACATATTGCAAAAATCTTAATGACGTCACATTTTTATTTTCAAAACAATAGCAAAAATGCCTCAAAAATCCAACAATAGCTTGAAATAGATTATAATGCTTTAACTTTAACAGTGGAACATTTCGGAGTTTATGCGTCCAAAAAATCTGTTAAGACCTTTCTAGCTGTAGAATTTAGTTAGAGGAGAAAGTTGAATAATTTGAATGTTATATGTTGCTGACCATAAGATCTAATGGGTTTTAAGATGGCTATACAGACGCTAATAATGTAGGACGTTTTGGACATTCGAATTTATGCGTCCAAAAAGTCTATGAAAAAAAATTAGTACAAATTTTTTGCATTATTTGTCCAAATATATCTTAGATATCTTAGCTAAACAAAAATACGCATTAGTACTGTACAGTAAATAAAAAGCGGTAAAATGGTCCAAAAAGTGTTTAAATCTATTTCAGCTAAATTAAGAAGTTGCTCCAATGAAAGAGATTTAACTTTAATGAGAATATAATTACCGAGATTGAAGCCTTTTATAAGATTAAATTCGCTCTACAGAAGAAGTTAAAATGAAAAGAAAAGCGTTAGAAAAGCGTTAAAATTGAAATTAAAAAAATAAATTAACCTCTTAATGAAGTTAATATCTCTTATAATTTTTCTACATGTACCCTCTTAAATGCATTATAACAACAACAAAAACTGTGACAGAAGCAACTACACTATTTCAGTTTTAAGTAAACTTGTTAGATTGGTACTTAGTTATATCTTATATAATTGAATGATATGGAGTAAGACCATTTTATCAGCACAGATATGTAGTGATTTAGTTTTAAAATCAAGCAAAGAAAATGTCATTTACACCTTTCAGGTTCTCAATGAAACCCTACATTGATCGAAAGATCAAGAGTGTAGCAGCTCTTTAATGGACTCTTACACTGACTTTATGAAGTCTAATTTTAAATTGGAAAAGATTTTAGTGGAAATAAATATATCTATTATCAATTATATATATATTATATATCAATTTTATTTATATAATTTTAAAATATGGACAAAATATAGTGAACACACCCTGTACATTTGGAATTTTCTCTTTCAGTCCAACAACAAGCAACACTTAAAATTTACTACAGTTATTTTATGTAAAATGTATTTCCATGGAATATTTATCCATTTCGGTTATGAATGTGGCTTTTATAAGCTGTCGTAAAAGTGTACAAGTGCGGTTTGATGTGCTTTCCCTTCAGCATGTTGGAGCGTGTGTACGAGTTATACGTACGCAATGTGTATGTTTGCTCATATATAATTCATGCCCTGACGGAATTAAATTTTGCATAGATTTCACATGGCTTCTTTTTTCTATTATTCAAATTACTTTAATTGGCATTGAAACGAAACAATTTTGTTCTTCATTAATTTTATTGACTCTTTTTTTGAACAAAAATAAAAAATTTATATAATTAAGTTAAAATTTTGTACCCCTAATATCGAAAATAAAATATTTACATAATTCCTTTAATATAATATGTTTTATACGTTCATTAAACTTAAAAAATTAAGTTAAATTCATTATCAAATAGTCTATTATAGATATATATATGTTATTTTTCCTCCCAAAATAAATATATGGGTCTACACTTATTCTCACCACGGTACTACAGCACTAGTACTATACCATGCCACTACCACCGTAGTACCGCTGATACTATGTTATCGATGCTGATGGGTCACTGCTTATTATAAGCACATACTATGATACTGGATTTACCCAATAATGACTTTTGTTGATGTTGTAGCTCTGAGCAAAAAACTGTGCCCTACCGCATATGTCAGTGTCTGTCTGTAGCTAGAGGATCTAAAATCTTCAGAACTCTTTTCTTATCAACTTAACCAAGCTATCATCCTGCAAAATTAGGGACTTAGCCAAGTATATAGAATTATAAGGTTGGTTCATTTTTACATGATGGGGAAGTCGTGGCTTTCTCGTTGTTTATACGCTGGCCTCTAGTTTGCATATGCAATAACGCTTATCCTGTAATACCACAACGGACCATTATTTAAGTTAAAGTGGACTTTGGGTACAAGACCGTCACTCCAACCTAACCTAACCCAAACAATACTACGTTAAATTAATAACTGCTAGAGATATGTAACAATAATGTTCAATTTTATTTCAATGTTTATACAGACGTACCACTTACTATAGCAAGGAAAACCTGGGTAGTTGGAGATTTTTGTCAGATCACACAACTCACCTGGTTCAAATTAAAAAAAGATTATATCACTAGCTTCTTTTTCTTAGGTGTTTCTCAGAACTGACGTATAAATGGTTTCTTACCCGCAGTATCACAACATGCTATTATTCATTTTATGTAATTTAGTAAGCTTTGATAGACAAGGCTACCATCCCAATCTAATCTATATTACTTAACCCATACTACTAAAAGAAATATATACAGCTATAAATACTTGAACAATCATATTACAATAATTCGCTCTTTATTTTTATGTTCTATTTTGTTAGCATGGATTTGTCTATCAAATATTTATAAACTTAGTCATATCAACTATTTCAACTTATGCTGATTATTGACTACAGATACATACCACACTAGAAACACCGTAAAAGTAATAGACCACTGATACTTTTAGTTATAGACTAATTCTCGATATAAAAATCTGTGATACCAAGAATCGCATGTAAATATAATTCAGCTTTCTCAACAAAATCAAACTCGCTATTCTTGATCAGAGGTTATGGAAGAATGCCACCATTTTTTATAACTTACAAGGAGATTTTAGGTACAAAACTCAGATCTCGCTTGAGTTATATTTTTAATCTATTGCCCTTTAAACAATTTGTAAAACAGAAGATAGCTGACTTTGAATTGAAATACATTAAATAGTTGTTTAAAAATTTCCATCCCGTCGAACTTTCCTCTTTACCGAGGAGCAGTCTTATATATTCTGGACACCAAACCCAAACATTCACAGAAAAAGTGCTTAATGATTTATTTTTCCTGCAGGTTTCCACAACTTCAGCAATGAGGATTAGACAGTTTCTCTGCGTGAGTTCTCATACAACAATGACCAGGAAGAACTGTAGTAACCATAGCAGTATTCACACGATTCCTTTTGATAAACTCCCAAGAACTAGTTTGATTCAGACTAAAGAATAGGACTAGAGCACTATTTTTTGGGGCTAAACACAACGGTTGTGGTTGTATATATGTGAAAAAATAATAAATGTATTATTTTAAATATTTAATTGTAATCATAAGTAATAAATTATTTGTATGTAAATCAAACAACTGCACTAACATAAATATAATTCAGTGGGTGACAACAAATAAATTTACATAATATATTTAGATCAAATTACGAAAAAAAAAATATATTTTAAACATAATTTTTTATACATTTATTATAATAAAAAAATAACTTGACAATGGAAAATTAATACTGTGCCAAGACATTTTTATGTTCAAATTTAGATATAGATAAAATATATTTTATGTGTATATTTGAAAATAATTTATTTATAGATTTCTAGGCAATTTATGTTGATGCATAAAATATTTATGAGTTTTTATGTTAACAAAAACTGTGTGTAAAAAAGTGTGAAATAAATTTTAATCTTTTTTACAAGGACTGTAACATAATATTGACAATCGATGGTGATTCATGAAAGCAATATTGCAACAAAATAAGCAAGTAAGCAACATAAATTTTTAACATGAACGCAATATTGACGATTTTATTGTTGAAAAATGTAACTCATACGCACCGTGTGCAAATATTATAGATATTGTACGTTACATCGTACATGTTTGAGATTGTAAGGACGAAGTTGTACTTTTCGAAATGAATTTTATTGAAAACTTTTTTATTAAATATTGTTGATATTTACTTTTTGTGCTGCATTTCACATAAAAATACATATTCCCCGAGGTTAATTAGCACAATTTTAACTTAGTAGCTTTTTGCATGCACGATATTGTTTTCTGAGTTGGTTTTTTCTTTAGTTCATTTCTTTTTTTTTATTAAAAGTTCAAAATAATTTTCAGAAACTTAACAGTATTTTCAATTTAAAACAAGTGCTAATTAAGTATTCACAAGCAACACATCCTTGCAGTGCTTGTCACTATTTAATTATAAAGTTTTGCTGCACGTCATTGTGTATTTTTAGTTGTGCGCACGGCATATCAAATAAACTTTCACAATATTTAAGCGTGAAAGTTTTATAAAAAATTGTCTTATTTCAATCCCTTTTTTCTTATTTAACGGGTCACATACTCTTTAAAATACAGAAAACAGAATATTCATTTTATTTAATGTATTCACTTCTAGACTACGGAAATAATTTCTGAATACTTCGTAGAATACAGGGTTAGGCGATTGAAGTGTAGTGTTATCAACTACATACAGGTATATCTGTTAAACGGATATTACCAACTACGTGAAATTCATATGAATGACAGCTGTTTATATTTTTTACAAGCTACCTTTATCATTTGCATCTAAGTTTTATAGAATAAAAGTTATTTGAAGTGAAATTCAAACGTAATAAAGTTAATGTGTTATATTTGGTTGGAAAAACACAATCCCAACCCGCTTTTCTTAGCAAGCTCAAACTCCTTTAAGTGAATGAGTGTCGCCCAAGGCTATAGTGATGGACGAAAAAAAACCGCAACATCACCTAAAATAGTTCGGAAAGTGAAGGCTCGACTTGAACGATATTCACGTTGTAGCGATAATCAAATGATCAAAGAACTGAAAATATACCAGTAAAGTACCCGACGCATATTCAAAAACTAGCTCAAAATAAAGTCTTACAAGTTCCAAAAAGCACAAGATCTTACACTAAAGGAACAAAAAGTTAGGCTCGTAAGAGCAAAAGAGTTGTTACGCTAGCATGAATGTGCTAAATTTTCAAATATTGTATTCTCTCATAAAAAAAGTTTTCCCATTCAGCAGTTCATAAACTCTCAAATTGGATGTATTTACTTAACTAAACGCACTGCCAAAAATTTCAGACTACAAATAGCTTCCCGAAATAATTTTTCATATCTACCATAGTAATGGTATGAGCAGCTTTGACCGTCAATGGACGCTCTCCAATCGTTTTCATCGAGCCTAGTGTTAAAATCAATGCGATTTGTTATTTGGAAAAATGTTTTTGGAAATTAAAAAGTCATGTTCATTTCGCACATAATGGCTTTTGAAATTACCAGATGCGCAATCCTATAGACTATTCCTTCTAGACCATTTTAAAGAGCAAGATGAGCACTAAAAAATATGTCAATATGAATGCGCTCAAGAAAGGCATTATTTAGGATTGGGTAAAGATACTGAAAGACCACATTCGTGAAGCATATGACTCATTTTTTAACCGTTTGAAGGCTAGACAAAAGTCAAGACAAAAGGTGGCAACATCGAGCTAAAGTAAATGAATTCTGAAATTTTAATTACTTCTACAAATTTTTTAATGTGAATCAAAAAGTAGTAATTTCACACAAAATAGATATGATCGCTTGAATAGGAAACATTTCAATCGTTATTCAAAAAGTGCTCACCTGCTTTAAGCTTAATCCTCTAATACACACGAATTTCGATTTGGTCGATAATAGGTCGACATAAAGACATACAGACAAATTTTAGTAAATGGCTTCCTTTAATTGTTGACCGACATTTGCAACTGGTTATTATGCAAATTATTGTTGGTATAGGTATATCAAAATTACTTTGAAAACCTTGGGGAACAGATTTCTTAAAAGCGTCCACCAGATATCTATCATAATAGTACTTTGATAGTATATTTAATAGTACTTCAGTAAATCGATTGTTAGGAGAAATATTTCTGTTGATAAGACTTTCCGTCAATGGGATTAAAAATACTTTAATACAAATATACGGGCTTTAGGCCTGTATGTTTTTAAAAGGAAAAAATTTTTTAATTTAGTAGTAAAGTTTTTAACTTCATTTTGAAAAAAAATTTATACTTTAAATATATTTACTTAAGCATATAAGTTTAAAATTTTTGTTGTTCGAAAACACGTCCTGAAGATAGGCTTTTAAGCCTTAGTCCCTAAATTGGAAATTTGCTTTTTAGTCCTGTCCTTAGGTTTTGCTGTTGCCAACATGGAGAAACGTGGCCCAACACCACAACTCAAGAATTATTTCAATGCAAACACAGTGTTAAAACTAAGTCTACTTATGAAGAATATTGACAATGAACTCACCGAGGAACCCGTCGGTCGTTTATATTTGGAACGAAAGAAAAAAATGCAACAGCAAATCTCACTTTCACAAATGAAAGCTCAACAGCAATTAAAACTTATTGGACCTCCAAAAGAAGTGGATTCAGTGAAGCGTGCTTTTATTTACCGAGAAAGAGTAAATGCTGCATGTCAAAACCGTCATGTATTCTACACAGATTGCAATACTGTCTTGAGTGCAGCACTACAAAGACGTGGTTGGTTAGGAAAATTAGCTTATTATGAATTCAAGCCACTACAGAATCTAAGCAATGAAGTACTTTTAAGGTATGCCAAACCAGGAAATGATCATGAAAAAGTATATATATCAAGACTCTTAAGAGACAGTCCAGCTTCCTTCGTGTGGCACTTCCAATACAATTTGAATATGAATATCAGTGACAATGCTTACATAAATCATATCGGCCGTGGTTATAATTTAGATTTTTCAACAAAAATCGGTTTGATTGGTTGTTCTGAACAAGAGATATGGTTTCGCAATGACAAAGGTTGTGGCATGCATCATCCCCGTTTCTATCGACTTGGAAGTAACGCCTCAGAGCATGTGCACTTTGTTGAGGATTACCACCGTACGCAGTGTCGTGCTTTCATACACTATCTTTGGAATAATTTAAAAAATTGTAATCTGATATGTGATGAACATTGTGGTCAAGTACCAGCAGGTATTGTTACATTTGCAATAGAAAATGTTAAGAGGCAAAAAGCGGAGTTTGAATACCTTAGTTTGGCGGGAGGAGGCAATGCGCCACTATATCACGGAGACTCATGGTGGAGATATTTTACAACTTCTTCTAATAGTGTTATTTATAAAAAAGCCAAAATAGCCATGAGTTCCGCAGATTTAGTGCCAAAAATCAAAGTTGCTAAAAAGTATTTGGAAAATTTAGAAAGAAAATGTCCAGATTTTAAATGGGATGGATGCCGAAATTTATGGATACTTAAACCGGGTTATGAATGCCGTGGTAATGGTATTGTATTGAAAAAATATTTAGGTGACATTTTAAGTCATGCAAATCTGAACAGTGATAACAATTTTGTCGTGCAAAAATATATAGGTATTACATATTTTTATATATTAATAATTTAGCATTTTTAAGACATATTTTTCTTTCACAGAGCGACCTTTACTGATTTATAAAACCAAATTCGATATACGTATTTACATGCTGCTTACCATCGAAAATGATATACTCACTATTTGGCTTTACAATGATTGTTATCTACGTTTTAGTTCACAGATATTCAATATGGATGTTCTGAACCAAGCAGTCCATATTACGAATAATGCAGTCCAAAGAAATTATAAGAATTATGAAAACCGAGATTTACGACTCCCCAAAAACAATATGTGGTCTTTGTCTCAATTTAACAACTATTTGAGGGACGATCTTAATTCTAAAAACGTCTGGGATGAAAAAGTATTACCTGGTATAAAATCGAATTTAATTACAACCATCAAAACCGGTTTAGAAGAATTTAACTTTGTTAATAAGACATTTGAATTGTTCGGCTGTGATTTCATGTTAGACAACAAATACAATCCAATACTTATTGAGGTAAATACGAATCCTGATTTAACACCTTCTACAGTTGTCACGGAACGTTTATGTCCAATGGTATTAAAGGATTTGCTTAGGGTTGTTCTTGATTTACCATTAAACTGCAGGGCTTATACAGGTCTTTTTCAAGCAATTTCACATATCGACTGTAATGTAAATAGAAGTCGACCAACAAATGAAATTCTGGAAGTAATAAGCGGACATAAATTAAAAATAAGCAAATCTGAACAAAAAAAACACGAAACTAATTCCTTACCCACAAAACCTAAATCAGCATTGGCCAATAAAAAAACTGCAAATGAAAAAGTAAAAAATAATACTACAAAAAAACCGCAAAATACAAGTGCCGGTGCCGGACCACGGTAAGACATTTAGTTTAAAAAATTTTTATTATAAATACAATAAAACAATATTATATTATATATTACATTACTATATATATCACATGCATTATATACATGCTTCCCTTGCAGAAACCCAAAATCAAAGGAGACTAAAAAGCAAATGACGACTAGTAAGCCAATTACATCAAAACCTAGTAAAAGATAGGGATTAAAGCTAAATAGCTCATAGAGTAAAATTGTCCACAAAATTTTAGTAATAGATAAAAATAAATCTTATCTACATTATAATTTATAGCTTAGCTTAGTAATATTTTGCTTTTAGAAAAGATGTTGAAGAACTATTGAATACTACTTTATTAGCACAAATTATTGACCTCAGTTATATGTTATAATGTTGATATAAACTTATTATATACTAGTAATATATGTATTTTTTTATAGTTATTTTAAAAAACACTTTTAAATAAATAAAAAAAATTGATAGCAATTCATTTCAGAAAAAAATTATATGAAAATTAAAAATTTTATTATTAGACGTCTGATATTTAGAGTAAAAAAATATATATACGAACAAGTGAACCAGTAGATGTTTTCAAAAGACCACTGACGGTGGGTATTTAGTAGTATACAAAATAGCTGTATGGTCAGTCCCAGAATTCACTTGATTACAAAATAAAAAATGTTTGATTTGAAAAGTGTTCTCATTATTTCCCACTTGTTTACTTGATATATAAATTTTTTTCATAGATTGAACTATGATTTTCTTTAATTTAATAAATTAAGTAACAAATCTATTATATTGAAACATTAGCCAGATAGAAGACCACAGTAATACATTTGAAACACCTAAACAATCTGTATAAGCTAAAAATACTATCCACTATTATTGCAATTTTTTTTATTAAGAATCTTAATATATAATGTGAAGATTCTATGAAGTACGGATGTCTTTGTATATTCAATTTCACTCATTTTAAAAAATAAAAAATTTGTAATTACAATTGAGTGTTATTAACTGCTTAGTGTTATCAATCTTGTAATAATCCTCGAAACAGAAGCAGTATTCTTTTTCAGACCAAGGTTATACTGTAACAAGGTTCAGCATAAATCCATAAGACAAACATTTACGTCTATTCCTAATGTGTGCCCAAGCTGCAAATCCAACCTCCATGATGTCGCTTATATGTTCTCTTACTCCAACGCACATACAAGCTTCAGTCTAATCGAGCTTTGGACCTACCCCATTTTAATGGCCACGTTCTCAGTCTTGATCTTGGTTAATATCAATTTAAAAATCACCCATAATATATCCACCCTAACTCTATTAGGATAGACCACATCATAACCCGTGTTTTTGTTGTGTAATTGCTTTAATTTTATCTACTTCCAAAAAAGAAAACTTCTTGTGGTCCATTAGAAAACCATATTTATATTGCTGTAACTTTTCTTCAATAACTTTAGCCACAATTGTGAAGAAGTTGAAGAGGGTGCTTTACATATACATAGTGTAAGTATTTAATATATGCGCAACATAGTTAACACTCACTAGAAACTCATTTATAGATCTCAGGCCCTTACAAAATATCTCTTAAAACGCATTTTAGACTTTGTAGATTCCAAATAGTTCAAGCTCTCCCACTTTTTATACGTTAACACACTGAGTTCACTATTCTTATGCAAATGCCTAGAAAGTATATATTTTGCCTTTCGATAAATTTATTTTTCATTTTGTATGTAGAAATCTTCATTAAAGCTATATAAATTAGTATCACTTAATTTATATATTTCGTTTATCTTTTTAATTTGCAATCCTTCTTGGAAACACCGTCAATTACTTTTAACGAATTTAAGGATGCAACTAATTTTAACCAGTTGTGCGGGAAATTAAATCATTTTTATTACGCCTAAAAGCAGTTTATGTATGTACATAAAACTTTTCAGATTTATTATCCTTCTCACAGGACTATAAAACGCAAATGATTCGATTTATCTGAAAAAAAAAGAAAATAGATTGTTGTGCTGCGTTGGATGTGAGCTAACTTTTGTTAAGTTCAGGGCAGTACAACACTGCAACTGTTGTGGCAGTCGTGGCAGTTGTGGCAGCAGCAAAAATTTATTTTTATAATAGTTTCACTTGTTTTGCTGAAGTTTCTTCTTCATATTTTATTTTACCCACAAAGATACACAGTTTATCAAAATAATTAATTTGAACAGCCAAAAATACAGAAAAACACAGAAATACAGAAAGTTAAAGAGTAAAATATAACCGAGAGGATGGCAAGCATGTATGGAACAGAAATTGTCATCAAGAATAATTTTATTTAGTAAAACCTTAAGAAATAATAACATTAGACTCTAGATTAGTATTGAAGATATCGAAGAAGAAATTTACAATGATATTTGTCAGAATTTGCCTATAATCATACAACGCGATAGTAATCAAAGATTAGAAGAGGTGATAATAGAACACCGATTCTAAGATATGAAAATATAACATTTTGACTTTTCACTGGCTGGCATTTTCTTAATTGTTGTTGTTGTTGTTGTCGTGATTTGAGTTAGTGCTATTGCGCACTTTTACTCTATTGTGGCTGGAGGCTTATCCCTGCCCCACACTATACTTTAATTATACTAGAATCATTATCATTTATTTATTTTCTAACTGATGACGGACTGTAGATCAGCATAACTTCCTGTGCGTCCTGAGATGGACGAAAAGTACAAAAAGGGTCCAGATCAGGACTTTTACCATAAGAGTGTTGGTGAAAGTCACTGTATAACTCTATAAAAATAAATGCAGTTTTATATAGTTTGACATTTAAAGAAGGATGTCATAAGAGAAATTATTAACTGAAGACGACATTTTCGCACAATTAGAAGTACTTATTAAAATTGATCCGTTAAAGTCTATTGGTAATATGCACTAAATTAATAAAAACAATACAATAACTTCAATATTATCAACCAACTGTTATCATACACTTATGCATAAGAAGTTATTATTAATTAGACAAAAAAAATGTGTAGTATTTTCAATAAAAAAAAAATTAAAAATGAACTTATTATATTTTAAACCATTTGTCTTACACGTTGACAATTCTAATAATTCAATTTATGCTTAAATAATACATATTATTCATATTATTACAATCAAATTTATAATTCTCATTAAGTTGATACCATATGTTTTATATCCATCTTTAATTTACGTGCCATTAAAAAGAAATTGAATTTGAAATTTAATATATAAAAAACTCTTATAAATCCTTTAATTTGTATTTGCATCTAGTAACTTTTATTTCATATTTAAAAGACATGAAAAACATAAATGAAAACAAATATTAAATAAAAAGTAAAATTATATGTTATTTTTTATTTGCATATAATTTGCGAAATATTAATGGCAAAAATATACAATTTAGTGTGTATTAACCATAAACTCTTTCACAGGAAGATTTATTTGTTGTCTTCAAAGGACATCATATAAATGATTATTCTTTTTTATTGCCTAAATTATAGTTAGAAATTAATATAAAATTATATATAATACTATCTATAATATAGTTATAAATCTATTTAGTTATTATTATAAGACATATTGTTTATTTCTCCTCTCAGTACAAGCTAGGCAAATGCTATAACAAAAAAAATCTTATGCTTAGCCTTCGAAGGCTATTAAAGTTTCAACTACCATTTATATATTGCATTCTTGATTTCCATGACCAAAACAATGGGAACAATTCAATATAAATACAAATAATCCCTAATATCCCTAAATATAATCCCTAAACAATCCCTAACTGTATTCAAACTCGGAAATTATTGGTTGAAATAATTGGTCGAGAACTAATCTGTCTGCTTAACAATATAGTAGTTCGATAACCAATATATTCCTTTAGCGATGAGTAACGAAAAAGTATTAGCTTAAAGTAATTTATTATGTTGAGGCTAGTTGAGTGAGTGCACCTGAGCACTTTTACTCCCTGTTAACTGCGAGGTTTCTTCAAAACCCATCTTTGCGCCTTGACTAGATTGTTGTTTATCACTTCATTAGACCAAACAATAATTGACCGCAGATCTGCATACCTCCCCGAGGAGCCTGTAACCATTCTGAGATTTGATAACGCGGTGTTGGTAAGTCTGTCAGTTTTATCAGTTTGTGTAGTAAAGTACATTATATAGATTTTAGATAATTTTAGATAATTATATAGATCTCAATATATATGTACATTTTTAATAATTTTTTTACTATAATTAAATTGAAGATGCTATCCAAAAAAAAATGAGATTATGGAATTCTAAAGCAAACACATCCATATATCTACATTAACTATAGTTTCACTTACTTGCAGATTATCTACCCAAATCTATAATACTCGTATATCACTTGTCACACATATTCAAACTGTTGACAGTCATAAGGTCGATTTGAGCTTATATCTAACAAGTCGTGCATTTTGTTAAAATATAAAGCAGATTTCACAAAATATGGAAGCAGATATATAATAAATTTTTCTAGCTTTCGTAGTCATAAATTTTGATTTTAGTGTTTGATTTCTTCTCCATCTCACAGTTCTCGGCATTTGAGAATGCGTGGTAGTCTAGTGTTTGTTGTAAAAGATACAAAAAGAAAAGTAAACAAAAAAATAAAAAAAAAATAAATAAACAGAAAAAATAATTTTTAAAATTTATATGCTTAGGCAAAGGTCAAATTTCAATATGCCTCAAGTTTATCATGAACACGTACTAGAAGTTAAGCTCAACTGGTGAAGGGAGAATAACAAAAAAATGGATATAAAAAACAAATAAAGCGAAATTATTAAAATCGATTTGTTACCTTTTGTAAGGCAAAACTTTGTAGATTACTGCACGTGCAACATTTAATACACAGAAAGGACTGGAAACACAAAATAGAAAACTTTTTCCAAAAGGTAGTTAAGGTCCTTACAAAGTAGCACATAACTTATAAATGAAACAGTAATTTAAAGGCAGTCATTTTTCTTCGAATTTCTTTGAGTTTATTTTGCATGTGTTAATTTTCTCACAGTTTGTCGCCATAAGTAATTTCCCTATATTTCATTTAAATAGTATACAATTCCAATATACACAGAATTTTTCAAAGTATTAACTAAGACACTGAAAATATTGTATGCTTAGATATTGCAAAGAATATAGATCAAATTAATGTTTTTAAGTTAATTAACCACTGAAGTACGATATAGAACTTTTGTCATTTTTTGTAGGTCTTATATTTATTAACCCAAATCTTTGTTTCCCATTTTTATTCTCTGTTATCTGGATATTTATATTTTTTGCCCCTCCTCCTTCTTTCTATATTTCTTTTATGATATTGATAATTATTTTGTTTGTAAAACTATATTCACAGCTATTATTTTCGC